AACAGGAGTGTCTTTATGGAGGAGACAAGAGCCTTTAATGCCCTCCATTCTTTATTCTTTGATACCAGCTGGTTCAGGTATTGTACTGGGCCTATATGATGATGGGATCTTGTCCCATCTTAGTTAGGCTGGTTTCCATCCCTGGCAATGCTAGTCACAAGTAAGACTGGTAATACACCTTTGGAGGAATTTTTGGCAGTTTGTTTGCAATCTCCGAAAACAGAAGTTAAAAGCTTGCAGAAAGAGACCACCTCTCTTAGGAAAAAAGAAAAAAAAAATTCATCGATTCTTTAATAAGTGAAAGCAACTTGTGATTCACGTTACATGCATAACTCTCCCACTGGCACTCGGCTAGTGACACAAAGAGAAAAAAGGCTCATATAAAAGTGACAATTTTCCATTCAACATCTACAGTTCTTCTGAGTAAGAAGCACTGGTATTCTGGTTTATCGTATGAGAGCTGATGACACTGTAAAGAGATGAAGTGTCTCACAAGCCAGTCATTTTATTCTTATATGAAACCCACGGATTTTAATCTTTCAGGGGAAGATTTCTGTTTCAGTATCAAAGTTTCATATTAAAGATGGGTCCAAATTCAAACCTAAGATCCTCTGTGTGTTTGTCTTTGTGTGTGTGTCTAAATTAAAATGTTGTGGCTTGATTTTACCTTCAGGTCTCAGTGATGTTGGACTACATCTCAGCTGCTGTTGCGACAAAGCCTACAGATATTTGCTCCTCTATTTAGGGTTTTACTCTTTCCTCTTTGTCGTATCTGAAACCGAATCTACACACAGTGTAGATATGTTTAGAAACATGACAATTTAAATCATAGCATCAGCTGACATCTAGCACTGCAGAGAAAGCAGAGGGAAAACAAACATCAAAAATAACTATTATTTTATCAAACCAGGGCCTTTTTTAGGCTTAAATATCTTACCGAATGCCATCTTATTTCCCTTCTCTCCTCAAAATTTCTGCCTAAGGAAAATACTAATATTCATTAAATTTCTGTTTAGGCCTTTCAGTAGATAGACAGATATATAGGGAAATCTTTTCTTCATCTCTATTTTATGCTGTTATTTTTTCTTTCCTTGAAATTGTCACTTCTATCTTTAATAACCATAAATCTTTCACAAATATCATAGAGTGATTAGAAAGAGGAAGTAGCTGTATCTAACATAATATTACATTTCTTTCTATTAAGAAATACTGAACTGAGTTCTAATTTTTATTCAAAGTATTCTGTGATAATGATACAGATATTATGGAATTCATTGTTATTAATTATATGCATCAACATATACTGTAATGCTTGATGTAATCTACTGAAGATTAAAAAAAATCTCAGAGCTCTCATTGTTTCTGCATTGCACAAAACCAGGAAGGCTGAATAAAAGAAACAAGAAACTAAGATAAATTTTATTTTTCAGTATGTTGTGAAATAGTGTCTTATTTAGTATTATATGATTTATATAAAACGATAAAGCAGATCAAACAACTCTTTACATGTGATTATAAAATATTACTTTTATTTACAAATAAATAAAGATTTATAGGGATTTTCATTAAAATCTAAAGAAGTTACGTCAAACTTTCTGCTATTGACCTCTTTACTTTGATGATAATTCTTAGCAAAACCCAAGAGTTTGAGCAACAATGTCTATTTTAGAGAGTTATGATGACTGTAGTTAAGCTGATTAAGAACTAGATAAGTGATAGATCTGAAATCTAGATATGAATGTGTAACCTTCATTAGTGGACGATTCTTCTAGGGAAATTTTGAAAGGACCACGTTCCAAAAGGCCTGTCAAGGATTTACAGACAAATACAAAACAATTGCTAATAACATGTACAGAAGGAATAAGACTGGTAGAATGATCAATTACCATGCAGGCACGGTTATCATAATCGGACAACAAGACAATAATAAAACCAACATACTATGTTTCAGTACAATAATGTCATCACTGTATGTTCAGAAATCTATGATCTTGGACAGTGATCAGGAAGGAGAGAATAGGAGGAATGGAGATAATCTGCCTCCATCACACTAGTGGAGGTTAGTCCAGGAATTATGCTTTCAGTGCTAGTACCTGTGCCTTAAAAGAAATTCTGAAAAAATGGAGGTGGTCTAGAAAACTAGCCCCAAAAATTATTTGAAGGAATAAATCTCATAGAGAAAACAGCCTTACAATGAGCTTGGTCTCTTTCTTCTATCTAAAGGAAACCTGAGAAGTGGCTTAATCAAAGCACACAAATGTATTCACAGGGACCCCAGCGCTGAATACAGTATTCCAGGTGGGGTCTCACAAGAGCAGAGTAGAGGGGCAGAATCACCTCCCTCGACCTGCTGGCCACGCTTCTTTGGATGCAGCCCAGGATATGGTTGGCTTTCTGGGCTGCAAGCACACATTGTCGGCTCATGTTGAGCTTCTCATCAACCAGCACCCCCAAGTCCTTTCCCTCAAGGTTGCTCTCAAGCCCTTCTCCGCCCAGCCTGTACTTGTGCTTGGGATTGCCTTGACCCATGTGCAGCACCTTGCACTTGACCTTGTTGAACTTCATGAGGTTCTCACAGGCCCACCTCTCCAGCCTGTCAAGGTCCCTCTGGATGTCATCCCTTCCCTCCAGCGTGTCCACAACACCACACAACTTGGTGTCATCTGCAAACTTGCTGAGGGTGCACTCAATCCCACTGTCCATGTCACCAACAAAGATCTTAAACAGCACTGGCCCCAGTACTGACCCCAGAGGAACACCACTCGTCACTGGCCTCCTCTTGGACATCTAGTCGTTGATCGCAACTCTTTGAGTGCGACCATCCAGCCAATTTCTTATCCACCAAGTGGTCCATCTGTCAAATCCATGTCTCTCCAGTTTAGAGACAAGGATGTCGTGTGGGACAGTGTCAAATGTTTTGTACAAGTTCATCTTCTGCCTTTCAGAGGATTGACCTAGACAACTGGATTACTCTATTCAATTATGCATAGAAGAGAAAAGCAAATTCAGAGACCAGGAAAGAAAATGCATGAAGGAGGCTAAAGTCTTGAATTTAGAGACTGGGACATTCACCTGAGAGGTGACTGGCCTGATAACGAAGTTTTGCAGGCAGAGAAGCTTTGTCATCTCCAAATCCACAAATTTTTATGTAAGAAATTAATTCATTGACTATGTTAGATAAACTGGTATATTTATTACTGTTTCTTTAAAATAAACTCAGCTACATTTTTGGGATACCTACTCCTGTGTGGACACATTCAGGGTCCTCCATGAATATTTATCAGTTTAGGACTGCGACAGGAAGATTTCTAGAGGGCTGGAGTACAAGATGTATGACAAATCACAGAGAGCGGGGAAACCTCTGGGCATTTAAAGAAGCAAAATTTGCGGTTTCTATAAAATATTAAAACCAAGCAGTCAAGTGTCTTCAGGGTTAACTGGCTAGTGAGGGAAGATATTCTGTATTACGCTTTTAGATTTAAATGCTTTCCTTGTTCTTAACTGCTTTATTGGATCTAGTCCTTTTATGCAAAATCTATTGGCTAAATACAGTTTATGGGATGATTAGAAAACATGGTTAATGATCATAAAAGAAAAGTCTGTTCTACCAAGAAGGCTAGGCAAAATTGAAATGTCAAACAGGCAATAAATCATATTGTGTACATATTTTTCCTAAAATAATTATGACATACATGTATTTAATTTGTTTTAAAATATGTTTCTTCAGTTAGGGTAGCTATTTTTGTCAAGCCATACAGAAGCAAACATTACTCCAATAAGCTTTTTAAAAGACAAGACTGAGTTAAATTCTTTCACTCTGCTTGGTTTTTAATGTAGATCAGAGTTGATGAAGTATTTTTTGTTTGTAAAAAAAATTGTGAATTGCATTTACCAATTTGACAGTGTCCAGGCAATGGGTTATGGCATCACTCTGTACATGAGAAAACACATTGCTATTTGAGATAAAAATAACTGACTCAAAAGAGATTTGAATAATTATGGAAGTCTTGACTTTCTTGCCTTAAATTTGCAAGCTAAGAGGCAACAACAGGTCTTACTGATGCCTGTGCAATATGTGCACAAATATCCCATGCCCCTGAACCAGAAATCTGTAAAAATCAATGAGGGATGTAGATGTGTACATCAGAGTAAGTCACTCTAGGCTCTGTTTATAGTAAATAGAGAACATCGGTAATGATATTCAGAATGTAATTTCTGTTTTCCCATAGTAGGTGCATATATTTGGTTGGATAAATTACAAGCTAAATTCCACTAAATGTATTTTACTGCCTACACTAGCAGCCTTATCAGCCAGCTCAGATGTTGATACCTAAAGATAATTACATGAAATGAAACTTTAACCAAAGAAACATAAAAAAAGAAGAAAAGAAAATGCAAGCCTAGCAAAATTGAGTGTATGTTCTGCTTGTATTTCTGTGCTTTGCTTTGTTTCTAATCAGTACTAATTAAATAGCCACTAATTTGCCTAATGTAATAATTCCGCTACTGTGTTTAGTTAATTTCATTGTTGAGTTAGATAGAGCCCAATCTAAACATTGTAAAACCTGCTAGTAACTAACCTTTACAATGACTATAGAGGCCATCTATATGTTCTTTAAATGGATAGGTCCTTTAACCTTCGTCAGTTCTTAGAAGGAAAGTCAAAATAAAGATAGAGTCTTAAAAAAATGTTGTTTTCCAGCAAGGATCAGAACTATAAAACTTTCTTAGAAACTTCCATAGGTGATATGCTTTCATACCATTCTTGGTCTAGGACTACACAAGCACAAAGTTCTGATGACTACCTGAGCATTCACTTGCTATCAGAACCCATCACTTTTGATAAAACTTGTCAGTATCTTCCAACCTCAATGGTTGTATAAAATCTCATCGGGAAAATCTGGATGAATATTATTCAAAGTAATCATAGAGTATTTCCCAAAACTCTCAAATACAGCGTTGATTTTGTATTGTTTGCAAATAAACTATGTTTAACTCACATGTGCTAGTCGATCAAATCTGGCAAAGAGTTCATTCAGCATTCGGACCAGTTCCTGGGCTGACAGAGTTGTGGAGAGGTTGGTAAATCCTTTAACATCTGCGAAAAGAATGCTAAAAAAAGAAAAGATATTATTATTGCAGACTATTTCGTTTGATAACTGAATGTGCTAAATTACCTTCTAGTAATTTACTAGTGAAGGACCATTTTAAAGTCATGCTACTTTTGCTCTAGACTTTTGGAGATTCTGGAGTAATGAATGTAAGTATTGAATGGACTAAAGAAATACCACCAAGTATGAGAAAGCGTTTTGCCAAAACCATGTGTTACCCAGTTTTGGATTTTCACGTCATTCAGGAAGATATATTTAAGCCTTAATGAGCACAGTTGTCCCACTTATCAGTGAGAAGACTGAGGCAAAGTGCACCATAACATAGAGGACTCTATAAACAGAAAGACTATCTGTTAGTAACTGACAGTGTTCTTTGAGAGTGGGTTTATTTGTGGCTGGTTTTTAATGTGGGTTTGACTTCATTGATTTAAATTTTTAGTGTGATTTTCAGGCTTTACTTATCTATGTGTCACACAGGACTCAAATCCTGAGACAACAGATAGATTCATGACAGTCTTGATATGTACCAGGCTCAGGCCAGCTTTATTGCATCTAATTTTAGAGATTTGACAGAATCACCTGAATTAGAAGCACAGTATCATCTATTTAAGGTATGAATTTTTATTTGGATGATTCCTTGTTCTTTCCATTGACTTCACAGGGAGCCTGATGTGATCATATTTCAAACTTTGGTGCATCAAATTAGGTGACTGAAGTTACGGTAGGATCTTGGTCAATAAACTAGTTGCAATCAGAGCTCTAACCTATATTTCAGGAGCCAGTGAATTTTCTAGGCATGCAATTTTGGCTATTCACCATGCCTACAATGAATATATGTGAATATACAGAAGCATACACATACACACACAAAGTCTGTGGTGTGTAAGGTATCACCCAGATCAAAGCATGTAACACCTCAGTACTTAGCAGCTGAAGAAAGGAAAGTATCATCTACTTTTAAAAGTAGTTAACACTCAAAAAAGACACCTGTCATGCTGGCACAGACTGGAAAAAGCCCAAATAAACCTCATTCGCACTTCAAAGTCAACTAATGGCTGGTATTACAATTTGAGTAGCTGAAGAACTTTTGTGTGTGTGTGAAATGAGATCACAATTTGACAGAGTCTGAGAATCATTAATATAACCGATAAGAAATATAGTAATGACCAGGTGGACAATAAAATATGACTAATGATAATTCAACTGATCTTCAAATGCACAGGCTGGTAAAGGTATGTGTGGGGATTAAGAAAGTGGCTCACAAACTGGGTAACATTTTCACCAGAGAGAAAATTGAAATTAAAAGTTGAAGTACAAAACAATCTAAAGAGAAATGAATATTAGTAATAACCAAAATTGACAAAAAAAAAATTCACACGAGTAATTTCTACAGTTTTCATTAGTAAAACAACAAAAAAACCCTAATTGGATACTAATTTTAGGGATTTCTGTCCAACGGTTTAAATAGTGTTCAGTGTTCAATATTTAGGGAAAAATAGGGTAAAAACCAGTTTTGAAAAGACCTAGTTCCTGGTAGCATGCATAGGAACCAAACAATATCTGTACTCTAAAGCACACAGAATCTTCATTTTAACTCTCTTTCAAGTTAAAATTATGTTTTGACATTTCACCCCTGACTACAACTCTTTTCCATTCAAACAGAGGGTCATCTTCTCCGTTATTTTAATTCTTCTATAACAACAGTTACTCTGATAATGAAAAAGGGTAATGGAAGATATTTTAATTTAGTGTAATTCAAACCTTTTTTTAGAGACCTTGATATTTTTCACTGGATTTAATAAAATAATATGTCTGAGATACTGCAAGTCAACAGAAGAAGCAGATAATCAATTTACTCTTTTGCAGAAGTTCAAATTATTTTTACTGATCTTGTCCAGACAAAGCTCTATTTGAGCTTCATCAAAAGGCAAAGCACATGCTTTCCTAGCAAACTGTTTCCTATCATATCCAAGGATGCTTATTTTTCACTTCTTTCAGTGACAGGCACTCAATCATCTGCCCTTGTGGTTTGGGAAAACTTATGGAAAATGTTACTGGCTTAGCTAAATGTTCTGATGGTCAGAAATCATAATAAAATCAGAAATTTTGTAACATCATGGAGCAGAAGGTGATCATTCTAGTGTAAATGTACAATTCGGACTTATTACCCTGAGTAGCAGCTCATGGGATAGGTATCACCTTCCTGCTAACTAACTTTGGGATAGACAAAATTTAGAGAGGGGAATAAAAAAGGGAAATGGAATTAGAAAAATAATAAGAATGATTGAATGAAAATGGCTACTAAAAAGAGGAGTCACATGACATATTTACATCTTGCAACCAATCTCAAGTACAAATACAGACTGGGTGGAGAATGAATTGAGAGCAGCCCTGAGGAGAAGGTCTTGGGAGTCTTGGTTGATTAGAAGCTCAACATGAGCCTGAAATATGTACTTGTAACCCAGAAACCCAACTGTATCATGGGCGGCATCAAAAGAAGCGTGGCCAGCATGCAGCAGAGTCTGTCCCTCTATTCTGCTCTTGTGAGACCCTGCCTGTAATACTACACTCAGCTCTGGGGCCTCCGACATAAGAAGGACATGACTTGTTGGAGAGGGTCCAGAGGAAGGCCATGAAGATGATCTGAGGGCTGGAGCACCGCTCTGAAGACAGGCTGAGGGAGTTGGGGCTGTTCAGCCTAGAGAAGAGAAGGCTCCAGAGAGACCTTCTAGCATCCTTCCAGTACCTAAAGGGGGCCTACAAGAAAGCTGGAGAGAGATTTTTGACAAAGGCACGTATTGATAGGACAAGGGGTAATGGCTTTAAGCTGAAAGAAGGTAGATTTGGATTAGATGTAAGGAAGACCTTCTTGCCTCTGAAGGTGGTGAGGCACTGGAAGAGGTTGCCCAGAGAAGCTGTGGATGCCCCATCCCTGGAAGTGTTCATGGCCAGGTTGGATGAGGTTTTGAGAAACCTGGTGTAGTGGAAGGTGTCCCTGCGCATGGCAGGGGAGTTGTAACTATATAATATTTGAGATTCCTTCCAACCCAAATCATTCTATGATTCTATGATCTTTGAGACCATCTTACAATTCTTCATCTCATTTATCAGCATATGAGGTCAACCAGAAGGTTGCGGCATAACCTGTGTCCACATGCAGGCAGGGCTCTCCTTTCTGTGCAACCCTGACCGCTTAATTAAAGAGAAAAAAATAATAAATGGTCCAGCCTCCAGTGTTCAATTTAGATGAGTCTTGTCATGGTACAGGCATCCATCCATCTTGATGAGTAAAAGAAGGCACCAAAGTGCTTGTCTGCTCAGGGATTAAACAAGGGTAAACTAATTTTTTAAATTATGAATGAATAAAGCAACAGAGGGGAAACTCTCAAATAAGAGACACTTAGCAGCATCTGAGACCTTAAACATTAAAAAGAGGCTCCTCCACCCACCTGACATTCTCATAACGATGAATGTAGATCTTATGAAACTGGTGTTGCAAATGTTCATCTTCTACATTGGTCATATCATTTATCATTTCCAGGACTACAAACCGTGGTAAGACAGAGAGTACCAGCCGTTCCTAAAAGAAAGAGGAGAATGTCAGCATCAGCTCGAATTAGTACTTCACAGGAAACTGATTGAGCTCCGCTCTATTTAAGAAATACCTAAGAAATGTTTTATGGGAAAGATTTAGCTATAGACTATGACTGTGGTATGTTAACAAGGTTACAATAGTTAACAGGAACTAAACATTCAACTTGAACTACATAGCATTCAGTGCAAGTCAGACTGAAAATAATTTAGTAGCTGGAATATCTATAAAAGCATCCAGTGTTATCAGCAGACTTTATCTCCAGTGTCCATTCATTTTGCCAGAGCAGTCTGAATTCAAGTTAAAAGGAAATGGAAGAAAGTGTTTGGAAGATATGAATTTGTATGGAACATCTATACTCTTGCTATTCAAAACATGCCAGACAATGCACTTGCAAAATGAAGATGACATGAGCGAACTGCTGGTTTATGTCATGATCTGTATGAAAAGCATATGAGACTGGAAGGAAAAGACAAAAGGACATGGAGGGACCAGTGTAAACTTGGGCTTATTCTGAAGAGAACAACTTCACATTTCCATTTTCAGCTTTTATCACACGAACAAAGCTCTGTCTTATTTCAAGAGTCAGAAGTCTCTACTGGAGACAGCCAAATACTACAAATAAAAACACTCAAAATTTTCAAGAACCCTTGAGTGGTTTAGAAATCTAGATATAATTTCAAAATAAACGTCGGCAGTTCAGATTCATTGATTTTGAATGTGGTTTTTACTCTTTTGTGTCACAGTTATTTTTGAAAACAAGAATTGGGATCCTAAGTACACTTCTGAAATTTTTTAAGTGACTTGGGAATCTCAGAGTCTTCTTAACAGTCTATGGCATTGAAGTGCTTACATCGTTTTGACAAATGGGACTGGGTTTCAAAATTCCTAGAAATCTCAATATGTAATCTCAGAAATAAGCATTTATATGTGTCAGTGAAGCAGGTTTTCAGGATGATTTATTCAGCTTCTGGCCACTTCACCTCTTCTTTGAAGATCCCCCCAGGACAGATTGGGGGCTGAGCTGTTCTGTTGACCCAGAGATAACCGATCGTTTTGCGAAAGGCCTTGTACGACCTCCCTATCCCATAATAGATGCACATCTTTTCGCATTGTACAGCAAGGTCAGTACAACAGCAGCCACCAAAACAGTTTATGGCATATATAGCCTTCTCCCTTGTTCAAAGGCATATGAGATTGGGGAGAATGGGTTGTTCTGAAGATGACAGCCAGCTCCTGGCCATCTTTTAGGCCCTAAGGGAGCAGATAGGCTTTCACTCATTCCTCGTATGGACATGCATGGCAGAGCGTCTGTTGAGAAAGAAGAATCATAGAATCATAGAATCATGGAATGGTTAAGGTTGGAAGGGACCTTAAAGATGATCCTGTTCCAACCCCCCTGCCATGGGCAGAGAAATCCTCCACTACACCAGGTTGCCCAAAGCCTCATCTAACCTGGCCTTGAACACTTCCAGGGATGGGGCATCCACAACTTCTCTGGGTAACCTGTTCCACTGCCTCACCACCCTCAATGTAAAAAATTTCTTCCTTATATCTAATCGAAATCTCCCCTCTTTCAGTTTAAAGCCATTGCCCCTTGTCCTATCACTACCCACCCTTGTAAAAAGTCCTTCTCCAGCTTTCCTGTAGGCCCCCTTTAAGTACTGGAAAGCTGCTATAAGATCATCCCCGAGCCTTCTCTTCTCCAGGCTGAACAGCCCCAACTCTCTCAGCCTGTCTTCATAACAGAGGTGCTCCAGCCCTCGGATCATCTTCGGGGCCCTCCTCTGGACTCGTTCCAGTAGCTCCATGTCCTTCTTATGTTGGGGACTCCAGAGCTGAACACAGTATTCTAGGTGGGGTCTCACGAGAGCTGAGTAGAGGGACAGAATCACTTCCCTCGGCCTGCTGGCCATGCTGCTTTTGATACAGCCCAGGATACGGTTGGCTTTCTGGGCTGCCAGCGCACATTGCCGGCTCATGTTGAGCTTCTCATCCACCAGCACTCCCAAGACCTTTTCCTCAGGGCTGCTCTTGATCCATTCTCCGCCCAGTCTTTACTTGTGCTTACTAACTTATTGTGATGTTTGCATAGGGTGATGCTCACATACAGCCTCAAATTTCCCAAAACAGACAGTTGGTTGATGGTGGTGGTGGAAGTCTGCCTTTCAAGGGTCTTCATTGCAGTGTCTTCAGCTAGGTCAGCAGAAAATCCTCACATGACTGTTCTGCCCAGTTCTTATAACCTAGCTGGCCCATGATCCTCTGTGACAGCCCCAGTCTTACATAAGTAACTACTATTGATATATTTTAACCACATGCTAAACATTTCTTAAATATCTAAACTACCTAGAAAAGACTAGTTCCATAGACCATTTCTGCAAGGACAGTTTCTATTGGGTATTTGCACGACT